TGGTTCAATGTAGAAGGCGAAAAATCGATCGAATTTGCAGTGGCAAGGAAGCATGTAGACACAATCTCTGCTCCAGTCAATGTTTCGTCGAAAAAATTGACCGTCCAACAACCAGCGGGATCCGACGAAATACTTGTTCACGAATTCGGTCGCCATTTTGGTGACTTCTTGCTGATTTTCTGGGTCGAATCGCTTCATTCCACCGAATTGCGAAAGAAAGTGGACGATTCGGGCCTCCATCTCCTGAGAAACATCGGTTCCCACAGGATCCCGCCTAAACACATAAAAAGCTGCCTTCGAATTCTTGCTTGGGATTCCCTTCTGAATGATTGATCGGACGATCTCTTCAAAGTTATCCACTCTGGTTGAGATTCTCAAGATTTTGATCGAAGTCTTGGCAAAAGCATCGTAGTAGAAGTGAAACGCAGCGGCAAAACGACAATAATACCACCATTCGACCTCTTCGCAGTCATTCAGCTGATTTGAAATGAAATTCTCAAAAAGCTCGCTGATCACTCGATTTTCTTTCAACAAATCAATGTCCAGGTCAATCGACGCGAATTCTTCAATCATCGAGCGGAAATTGTTAAAAAATTTCAGCAAGCACTCCTTTCTGCGCAATATGAGCGTCAAATTTTTTACAGAGTTCAATTGATTCAGAATCGTCGCGTGTTCGTTGTTGAGTTGTTCGTACCAATCCTCAGTGTTTCCAAAGCGTATCTCCAATCTGTCACACGAATGGATGCGTTTGCTTAACGGAAGGTGACTCGCATGAATATAGTCGGATACGCTGAACTTCTGGATTCGAATCTTCCCGTCCAGCCATTCATTCATTTGAATCTCGTCCACGTGGTCATTGAAAACGAGCGACGGATTGCGTGAAAGCATCCATTGAAATCCCGTATTCACTTTGACCAACTCAATCGTAGCTTTCGCGTCCATTCCCCCCAGCACTTCCAACTTCAGATCGTAACAGAGCTCCTCGATCGGAAACGCCGTCAGATTTCTCATTTCAAACGGCATCTCGAGCGACATTCTTGCACCTGTAAAAGAAAACAATTCGTTCTTGTCGGAAAATGAAACCGAAAACACAAAAAGGACTCAATTTTTGGTGACAAAATGGTTTTCGAATGTTCTCGGGGTCAAACGTCAAATTTGGCTTTTCATAACCTTTCTAAGCCAACAACTTTCCTAATTTCATAAAAATCTGAGCAATTAGCCCAGGGAGAAGGGGAACCATAAGCAAAATTTCCAAAACAAAGCTTAAAATTCCACAAAATCGGTCATAAATCAAAAATAATATGGTCCTTGAACCAAATCACTGCTCGAAAACACCTTAAGTAGTAACTTTATTATTAGAAAATTAACCAGTAAACATTAAAAACGTAACCAAATACCGTAAAACACTCGTAATCACATTAATGCCCAAGAAAAAAACGGAACAGGTAACAACCTAGCAATAAGTTCATACAAATCTTCCTTCTTTCGGTTTCTCGCTTTTGCTTTTGTACGCGTGTTTCAACAGGCCTTCTCGTATCTGAAACTCTACAATTTCTGCAATTCTTCATTAACCATTGGAGTGGAAAAGTCTTTTATATTTTAAATGACGTTTTACGGAAAGCAGCCGACTACAACCACAGATAAAACTTTCTTGTTGGCAGCTGTTCAATGCTTAAACTTCGGATTGGACTAGAATGACAGTAAAAGTTGGCAACGAAGGATCAATTTTTTACGCTACTGAAAAAACGGTAAGCTCAAGGCTAACGCTTGATAAACGAATAGCTAATGATAATGATAAGGTAAAAATGAGGTAATGTTTGTTAGAATTCAAATTCTTAACCATTATTCGTTTGGCAAACGTAGCTAGAAGCACTAACTAGTGGAATTTTGCCGAAAACCGTTAAAAGCCCCACCATCACATCAACATCCTCGATCAGGGACGTCGATTCGCTCACGTTCTCCCCATCATCGCAACCGATTCGTGGCTCGATTTTGATCCGTTCCACGCGCACTTTCCACAGCAACTCGTCGAGCGTATCATTTCTTTTCTAAAGAAAAGAATTAAAGATGTAGATTGAGAGGTTTAAAAGTGCAATAAGACCCACCTTTGCAGCTTCATAAATGAATGGTCGAAGCCATGAGATTCTCACAACCTGAACCACCTTTCTCTCGTCGCCATTTTTCATCTCAAATCATTCTTTTTTCTTCATTTCTTTTCTCATTCAATGTTGGCATTGTCAATCACCTGGAAAATAAAAGGAAAAGAAGAAGTCGTACAAGTAACAAAGAGAAGCGATAAGCGGACGAGTTTGAATAACGCAAAAATAATTCGCAATAACTCGAAATATCTAAAGAAACGGTATCAAGTTAAGAGTTTTGGCAATGCGAAAATGTGGAGAAAACGGAACGAGACATTAAACAAATTAGAAATCGTAGATGGGAAAAGCAGCATTCCAACATCGCGGTAAAAATCCTCCTCCATATTGAACGGGTTCAACGGATCGGAAGATCGCCTCGTAGTGTACTAAATGGAATAGTAGGCGTAGAAGAGCCAAAGACTTTAACTGCCCTTCGATATTCATCTGCATCCCAGCCAAATGGTGCATTTTTGTAGAAAAAACACGAAAAAAAAAATTACTGCGTGGAATGTACTTGTTGAGCGTCAAGTTGTCCATTCCATTGGACCTCATCTCAGCCACGTGGATCTAAAGTTAAAAAGTGAAATTTGATTTAGTTACATCTTACTTGAGATTACAGGCTTCTCAAGTCTACATCATAAGCAACAACGAGGAGCTCGTGTAGACAAGTGTGGCTGTGCCATGAAGAAACGAATCCGTCGGTAATGATGATAGGTCTGAAATGATTAAATAATGGAACTGCCTGATGCATGAATGAAATACCTGACGCAGTTTGGTTTGATTCAAAGGTTGCACTATGAAATTTGCTAATATTTGTCAAAAAAGAAACTCACAAACTTCTGCGATTCGGCTGATATCGCGAGGAGTGGTGGGCGATAGTGGGATTGGCCGGCGTCTCGTGGCTGAACGCACATTGTACTCGAATCGGTGGTGTCAGCAGCACCATCTCTGGAAAAAAAGCATAAATAAGAAGCATCAAGATCATTCATTGCTGATCATCTTTTTCACATCTTTATCACATGATGCTACAATTGTGTTGCCACTCGGCCACATTAGATGATGTTCCCGGGATGTCAGATCTCTTCAATGAAACTGCTTGATGCTAAACAAAATGAAGTTAACGTGTCGCACATTTTGCTTTAATTCGCAAGCGTAAGGTTGCAGGCTGAAATTTGTTAATATTTATAAAAAAACTGATATCTACTGCCCTACTCGGTATCCCGAACAAGTACATTCCACACAGTAGAATTTTTTTCTTTAAGTTGGGCCCAAAAATGAACGGAAAAAATAAGATAATCCAAAAACTATCATCCTAAATTTCAGAATTAAAGGCAGCGACGCTGATGCTATTGAAATTTCATATTTCATCGAACCATAAAGAGTTATGGGTCATTTGATAGCTCTTACCACGCTCTTTCAGAACACATTTGGATTGAGTTTTTGCGGAATTCCATTTTCCCATGAGATTTTTTAATATTCTGCGCCGGAAAGTCAAAATAAATTTTTTCACGAAAATCTAGCTCATAAACTAGGCTCATAAAACAAATTTCCGAATTCTACCCAAAAAGTTAGTCGGGAACTGTTTTTTAATTTTGTGTTCTGGTCAATGGAAACACGAGCTCCGAAACCTAGGTTTTTAGAAGCACGCTGTTACATGCCCCCCGCGCACCTTCGATTTTCGTGAAATTTTTCGAAGGAAAGCTTTACAAAAGCACCAGCATTGCGATCAATTGTTATATTTGTGGATACTCGCCATTTTGGGTAGTACGTTCTTTTTGATGACCATTTTGATGACCTCTTGATTATTTTCTCCGTCGAATCGCTTCACTCCAGGGGATTGCGATAGAAAATCGACCATTCGGGCATTCATCTGCAGAGAATAGCGCATTATGCGCATATCCGCGTGGATTCGTTGGATCAATGAAAGGTGGAGATCGGCATCAAGCTGGAACTTCTCGACTCGAATCCGTCTATCAATACAGACCTCGTGCACGTGATGCTCAAAAACTATCGAGGGTGTCCGTAGCAGGATCGATCTAAATCCTGCATTCACCTTGACCAATTCAATCGCATCATTCGGCTCCATTTGCTCGATCATTTCCATCTTTAGGTCGTAGCATCGCTTCTCCATCGAGAATGACGTCAGCTTTCTCATTTCGAATGGCATCTTGCTTGGCGTCGTTCTACCTGTAAAAAAAAGCAGTTAGATTTCGCAAAAACAAGTAGATAATTTGAATTAAAAGCTTCTAGACAAAATTATAAATAATAACTCCGCTTATCAACCATGCTAAGAACCGTTTCCGGTTGAACGTAGAAGGCGAAAAATTTACAGGCATTTTACTGGTGCGCTTATCAACCATGCTAAGAATGACTGTGAAAAATTTCAACTCCCAGGTACCAAAAGGCATCAAAAAACACTGGAGTTTCCTTTTCAAAGTAAGAAAAGAAAGGAAAAAAATCACGGCATGTTCGGTTTTATGACCAATGGCAAATGAGTATTTCACCGGTTAGCTGAGTATCTCCAGCAAAAACATATTCAAAAGGAAAGAAAATGAAAAAAACGTGGCATTTTCGGCATTTTTTATTCCCATCGGCAAATCTTTTCTTTTTTTATAACCATTGGCAAAAGGAAGGGAAAATATCGATCATAAGTGGTTTCTCCAGATGCAATTTTTTGACTTATTTGGCTAAGAGACACCCCATCGATGCTAGTAAAACAAAAATAAATGTCGCTCAGGCATTTTCGGCAAAGTTACGCCTGGTGCCTGCCCACACCGGTAGCAACTGCCTATAGGTATTGCGCCCAAACTTATTTTAACTATTTAACTTTAGATCCCCGTGCCTGGAGGGAGGTCCAACGGAATGGACAGTTTGCCACTCGACTGGTCGACACTGACGCCGTTGTTTGCCCGAAGATGCACCCTTTTGGCCGCGATAAAGATAAATATTAAAGGTAAGGGTTAAAGTTTTTGGTTCTTATACCCCTACTATTCTATTTAGTACACTACGAGGCGATCTTCCGATCCTGCTTTTCCCATCTACGATTTCCAATTTGTTTATTGGAAATCTTATTCCTATTTCTCGACATTTCTCCAGGTTCAAGTTGTGAGATCTCATTGTTTCGACCATCCATTTGTCAAGCTGCAAAGGTGGGTCTTATCGCACTTTTAAACTTTTCAATCTACATCTGTAATTCTTTTCTTTAGAAAAGAAATGATATGCTCGACGATGATATTGCTGTGGAAAGTGTGCGTCGAAAGGATCTCAACGAGTCGTAAACCGGATGCGATGATGGGGAGAACGTGAGCGAATCGACGTCCCTGATGGAGGATGTTGATGTAATGGTGGGGCTTTTAACGGTTTTCAGCAAAATTCCACTAGTTAGTGCTTCTAGCTACGTTTGCTTAACGAGTAATGGTTAAGGATTTGGATTCTAACGAACATTTGCCTCATTGGTACCTTATCATTACCTTATCATTATCACTAGCTATTCGTTTATGAAGCGTTAGCATTGAGCTTACCGTTTTTTCAATAGCGTAAAAAATTGATACTCCTTCGTTGCCAACTTACTGTCATTCTAGTCCAATCAGAAGTTTAAGCATTGAACAGATGCTCAAAAGAAAGTTTTGTCGGTGGTTTTAGTCGACTGCTTTCCGTAAAACGTCATTTAAAATAGAAAAGACTTTTCCACCCGAATGGTTAATGAAGAATTGCAGAAATGATAAATTTTCAGATACGAGAATGCCTGTTGAAACGCGCGTACAAAAGCGAAAGCGATAAACGGGAAGAATGAAGATTTGTATGAACTTATTGCTAGGTTGTTACCTGTTCCGTTGTTTCTTGGACGTTAATGTGATTACGAGTGTTTTACGGTTACGTATTTGTATTTGGTAACGTTTTTAATGTTTTCTTGTTAATTTTCTAATAATGAAGTTACTACTTAAGGTGTTTTCGAGCAGTGATTTGGCTCAAGGACCATATTATTTTTGGTTTATGACCGATTTTGTGGAATTTTAAGCTTGGTTTGGGAAATTTTGCTTATGGTTCCCCTTCTCCCTAGGCTAATTGCTCTGACTTTTATGAAATTAGGAAAGTGGTTGGCTTGAAAAGTCTATGAAAAGCCAAATTTGACGTTTGACCCCGAGAACATTAGAAAACCATTTTGCCACCAAAATTTGATTGCTTTTTGTGTTTTCTCTTTCATTTTCCGACAAGAACCAATTGTTTTCTTTTACAGGTGAAAGAATGATGCTCAAGATGCCATTTGAAATGAGGAATCTGACGTCGTTTCCGATGGAGAAGCTCTGTTACGATCTGAAGTTGGAAGTGCTGGAGGGAATGGACGCGAAAGATACGCTTGAGTTGGTCAAAGTGAATGCGGGATTTCAATGGATGCTTTCACGCAATCCGTCGCTCGTTTTCAACCTCCACGTCAACGGGATTCAAATGAATGAATGCCTGAACAGGAAGTTCAAAATCCGGAAGTTCTCCGTCTCCGACTATATTGATGCGAGTCATCTTCCGCTAAGCAAACGAATCCATTCGTGTGACATATTGGTGATACGCTTTGGAACAAGTGAGTACGGCGGACAACTCAACAACGAACACGCGACGATTCTGAATCAATTGAACTTTGTGAGAAATTTGGAGCTCATATGGCTCAGAAAGGAGTCTTTGCTGAAATTTTTGGACAATTTCCGCTCGATGATTGAAAAATACGCGTGGATTCACCTGGACATTGATTGGTTGAAAGAAAATCAAGTGGTCAGCGGGCTCTTGGAGAATTTCATTTTAAATCAGCTGAATGACTGCGAAAAGGTCATCTGGTGTTATTATGATCGTTCTGCCGCGGCGTTTCACTTCTACTACGATGCTTTTGCCAAGACTTCGATCGAAATCTTGGGAATTAGCACCAAAGTGGATAACTTTGAAGAGATCGTGCAATCAATCGTTGAGAAGGGGATCCCAAGCAAGAATTCGAAGGCAGCTTTTCATGTGGCTCGCGTGGATGATGTGGGAACCGATGTTTCTCAGGAGATGAAGGCCCGAATCGTCGATTTTCTTTCGCAGTTCCGTGGAATGAAGCGATACGACGTAGAAAATCAACAAGAAGTCATGAAAAGGGCGACCGAGGTCGTGAACAAGTATGGCGGCGGATCGCACTGGTTTCCTTTCGACGGTCCATTTTTTCGACGAAACATTGACTCGGGCAGAGATTGCGTCTACATGCTTCCCTGGCGCGGCGAATTCAATCGATTTTTCGCCTTCTACATTGAACCACAATAGGAAATGATCGTGTTTTGAGGGTTTTTATCGAGTCTTTTACAGTTTTGGTGCTTTTATTGTGTAATTTTGCCGTTTTTTAGTTGTCTAAGAAATAAAGTTGTACAATTTCTTGTTTGAACAATGATTTGTTGTGTTAAAGACACATGGCGATATCTTTTTTGATTATTTTATTGTGGAGATTTTAATGTTTCCGCTACACGAATCGAGTCGATTGCATTGCCAAATTCGGTGGTGACGGTGATTCAAGTGGTGACAACCTCATTGCTTCGACCATCCATTTGTCAAGCTGCAAAGGTGAGTCTGATTGCACTTTTAAACTTTTCAATCTACATCTTTAGTTCTTTTTTAGGAAAGAAATGATATACTCGAGGAATTGCTGTGGAAAGTGTGCGTCTTACGGATCAAAATCGAGCCACGAATCGGTGCGATGATGGGGCGAACGTTCATTCTCAATATAATAGTTTGATTATAATAGTTTGATCAGTTAAGATTTAACTAGAATAACTGGAACTTTTTAACTTTAGATCCCCGTGCCTGAACTGGCTTGGCTGGAGTGTTCGAATTTTTGATTAAGAATAAAAAATTTACATGAGAGTGTAATCGATGTGGAATGTACTTGTTCGGAGTATCAATTAGGGCAGTAGATATCAATTTTTTTGAATAAAGATGAACAAATTTCAGCTTACAACGCTACGATTGCGAATTAAAAAAAAATGTGCGACACGTTAACTTGATTTTGCTTAGCATCAAGCAGTTTCATTATTGAAGAGATCTAACAACCCGCGAACATCATCTAATGTGGCCGAGTGGCAACGCAAATGTAGCATCATGTGATAAAGGTGTGAAAAAGATGATCAGCAATGAATGATCATGATGCTTTTTGCCTATGCTTTTTTTCCAGAGATGGTGCTGCTAACACCCCCGATTCGAGTACAATGTGAGTTCGGCAACGAGACGCCGGCCAATCTACCCCACTATGGCTCACCACTCATCGCGATATCGGCCAAATCGCAAAAGCTTGTGAGTTTGTTTTTTGACAAATATTAGCAAATTTCATAGTGCAACCTTTAAATCAAACCAAACTACATCAGGCATTTCATTCTTGTATCAGCATCAAGCATTTCATACATTCATCAGCATCAGGCAGTTTCATTATTAAATCATTTCAGGTCTATCATCACTACCGACATCACTTGATTCTACATGGCACATACACACTTGTCTACACAAGCTCATCAAATGTGCACTTTGTACGTCTTTTTTGAGCCATTTATCTCTGTAAAGTCGCCGGTTCAATTACGCAACCAATTGATTTCGGTTGTGCTTGTTTCCCGATTTCAGTTGTGCTTTTTTCAAATTTTTATTCATTTTCTTTTCAATCTGGCTTTTAGGGAGTTCAAATTCTCCAATAAAAGCCCAAAGAAATCGAAAAATAAAATAAAATAATAAAAACAGAAAATCTATAGAAAATCTTCTAAAATCTCTATAAAAACAATAGAAAAAAAACAAAAAAAGCTCAAAAACACCAGGAAATTTGCTCACAATTCTTCAACTTTCACATTTTTTTATTGCCAAATGGGAATTTAAAAAGATTTTTAAAAAAAAACATTTAATTTATGAGAGGAGTACCCGCTAGAAGTGTTGCCCAGAAAAACACACAAAAATCGAGGTTATAAAAAGATTCTTTTCACAAAAAACGACGATCTGGAACGCAAAATAGATGCCTATTTTGTGAAAAATGAAAAAATCGCAAAAAAAAAGAAAATGACTTTTTTCACAGAGACATCTGAGAAAAGTACAGAGACAAAAAATAATAAAAAATAATAAAAAATCACAAAAATCTCGAGAAACATCTGAAATTTAGGCCAGCTAACCGTAATCGGCTCGAGGGAGATGCGGAAAATAAACACAATTTTGAGGGGATCGGGCTCTTTTTCACTGGATACACTGAGAAATCGATTGAGCAATTTGCGGCGGGAATCGATTGGTGAGGTGGGGTTTTGAGAAGCGGAAACGGCGATCTGGATGGCACAAGGGGTGCTGGTAACAAATTCGAGGCAAAGGGCCAGATTTGAACCGGCTCGTTTACCCAACTTCAGCTACCCCCATCTCATTACCGGTTTCCTGGTTGAAATTTAGATTTTGAGGAGGGAAATGAGCGATCTGGATGTCACGGGGACTGCTGGCAACAAATCGGAACGTAGGGACAAGTTCGGCTTGGGACAAAGTTTGGGTCGGTTCAATTACCCAACTCTGGACTCAATTTTTTAGGAAGCTAGCCAGAAAGTTTTTCGATCAAACGGCTTAGTGCCTTCCAGGATCTAGAAAAATTAAGGATTTTCGACGAAATCTTCAACAAAATCCGTCAGCTTTCGTCGTGAACTTGATTCTGAGCTGTTTTGAAGTGGAGAATTTAGAGATTTCACTCCAGCACCCCTTTTGGGCCATCGATTTCACTCCAAATCTAGCAGCCACCGGTTTGTGATAATTTCACACAATGGTGAAGGGACTCGTCGATGTCGGAGAAGACCCGACACTGATGCCGCTTCGCCATATCCTTCAAGTAGCAGAAGGCGATCGCGTAGCAGTCATTTCTGAAAAGGAATCGTTTAGAGGATGCTCCTGGGGGGCACAACACCCGAAAACGTCCTTAAAAGTTAGCCAACTTAAATTTATCCAAAATTCCGTTTTCTACTATGCACTGTATTAGTCGGTACTTATTAAAAGCTAGAATTTGGCTTCAACCTTAGTTTCTATAAGTCGAATGCTTTCCAGCTTGGGCAAATTCCCCAAAAATTCTCACCTTCTTCGTCTGGCGGCTCGTTCAACCTCGTCTTCTCGATCGTTTTGCGCTTCGAGGAGTTCAGCTTCTTTTGACACGCATAATGTGACTTGCCAATCGGAATGACCCAACAAATAGGCAATCTGGAAGGCACGAGGGTAAAATTTGGACTCTGAGTGTGGCTAGTTTGAATTTAAACGAAAAATGAAAAAGTCGGGTAATTGAACCGGGTCTCTCACCTCGACCATTCCCGAGAGAAACGTTTTCGTCGATGGGATGTGATAGAGAACTTGGCGGAAGGCTCGCGATCCCTTTTTCAGCAAAATCATTCGGCTTTCCGGTGGAACCGAGTCACAAGCGAGTACGGTAGAGTACGCGACTTCGTGTCTCCTAAAATTTGAATGTTTTCGGGAAAGCTACCGTAACCTAGAAGTCTTTTTTGTGAACTATGGATGTCACAGAATATACTGATTACATTCTACAGTATCCCTAGCGACTTTAAGATTTACGCTAATTTTGACTTTTATAGCTTGGATGTTTAGGGAAAATACCGTAACCCAGAGACCATATTTTCAAGTTTTTCGTTGACTATGGATGTCACATTAGTACTTACTGTAGAAAAGGCGCCGCCTCTTTGTTGACCCAGTCCAACTCGTCGAGACTCGAGCACCCGAGAAAGACATGATTCGACGCCTCCGAAGGGGATTTCTTCATCTTCGGCATTTCAGCGTCGATGCTGGATGTCAGTGGCTCGATTGAAGGCACTTTCCTCCACGCGGTCTCCATTCCTTGCGGCACGGCGCCCAGCTCGAACCCCAGCGACTCCACCCATTTCTTCGACTGTCGAACAGCTGAAATGAGTTTTTTGCTTTTCGAAATAATTTTAGAGTGTAGTGTGCGTTCCAGTTTGAATCTTTTTTTAAAATTTTTTGTTTTTTTTAGATTTATAAAAGCTAAACATTGCCCGACAGAATTCTCGAAAAAATCGAAAAATTAGTTTCGAAAATTTTTCGACTCTAACACTTTCAATAGCTAGCCTGACATCCAGTTTGAAGTTTCTGTGTTAAACTGACCTTCTTTATTCGGCTGTTTCGGGATCAACGGGGTGGCAATGGTGTTGAGTCGGGGGATTGGGATGGACGGTCCTCTTGGCATCGGCGTTCGCGTCATATCGACGATTCCTCTTGGTCGCTTCGCTCTCGCTTTCATCCAAACGGTGTGCAGCGAGAAGAAGACGACGTTCACGAGGAAAATCATGAGCAGAATGATGCCGAGGGGCAGACTGGGCAGCACGAGGTGCGTCCCGAAGAAGGCCATCGTGTCGGCCACTCCCGTCAACGCCAGCCTCGACGCGGCACTCCGCAAACGACCCCACGCCGTCTGCAAATCGGTTTTATAGACTTAGAGTTTAAAAACTAGCAAAAAAAATTTTGAAAAAATAGCTAGAACCTAAAAGTTGACCTAGCTACCGTAACCTTTTTGTCAAACGTTGAGCTGGAAGGAATTTTTGTATTCTAGTCTAACAAGTGACCTCCAGAACTCTCAAATCTTTCAAAATTTTGCTAAAGTCTCAAAGAAGTTTTTGAGAAAAAGCACCAGTCCTAAAAGTTGACCTAGTTACCGTATCCCTCCACGTCCCCCCGCCTCTTCCCATTAAGCCTTACTGTACCTTAGCCGAGTCTCCAACCGCTCGATAAGCTTTCTTCGTCTTCAGCCCCAAATACGGTAATCGTTGTTGTGGGGTGGCCATCGCCTCGCGCCACGCCTTACTTCCGATCACCTCATCTTCGATGTAGCCGAGGGCTTCCTAGAAATTATTTTGATGAGATTTGCTCAAGCTGGAAGTCACAGTTGAAAGGGAAATCGGTTTTACATAGATTTCTCCAAGTTTTGAATTTAACTGGTACTCATTAGATAAACAGTGGACTTTTCAAAGCATCCCAGAATAGGACTGGACATTTTTCTAGCAATTGGACACACTACCGTAGCCTAAAAACCTATGGAAAGTTAATCCTGGATAGCACCAAGAACAATGCTAGCGTTTAAATGTCTGAGTTTCCAGTTTTACAGAACACTGCCTAACCCTGTTACAGGACTGGCTCGATTTCTATGAATTGGACACACTACCGTAGCCTAAAAACCCATGGAAAGTTAATCCTGGATAGCACTACGAACAATGCTAGCGTTTAAATGTCTGAGTTTCCAGTTTTACAGAACACTGCCTAACCCTGTTACAGGGCTGGCTTGATTTCTCATCTGCAATTCAACTACCGCATTTTTTGACTTCACCAACCTCAATGCTGTGCAGCAGGGGGACTTCATGAGCTAAAAGAATTCGATCTAGTAGTTGACAAGTTTTCACTCGATCGGGTAAATCTTCGGGATGTGCTTTGCCCTTCCACTCGTTCTTTCCTAAAACAAAAGCTTTCGTAAATTTCCCTTTTTCAAAAACTTACCCAGAAAAACGACAACCAATTTCGGGGCTTTCCTAGCGGCAAAATAGGCGATCTCGAGAAACGAGGTGGCGTTTACGGTGGCCGGATCGAGCACGAACAAGAAGAGCGAGGAATTCTGGAATTGGTATGCGTTCGGAGGGGTTTTAACTTCATAAATCACCGATCTGGAAGTCACGAAAGATGATGAGCTTTTTTTAAAGTGGAAATTTGAATTTTAAAATTAAGTGTCTTTTAGTTTTTAACTGTTTCCTAAAATGCACTAAAATTTTGGAATTTTTAAATTTCGAATTTTTTTGAATTTTTGAACTTTTGAACCCAAATTTTTGATTTTTGAAAAATTCCCTCAAAATTTTATCAAAGAAGAGGGAAAAAGCGTTTAAAAATCTCTATTTTTAGCTTTTCTTTTTTTCTAGTCTCTTTCACTCAATTTTCCTCTTTTTTGAAGTCTTATCAAAGAGCTGAAAGATCTCAACCCAAAAAATCACATCACTTTCACTTTTCTGCGTTTTTTATGGCCTTTTTTCTTTCTTCTGGATGTCACAGGGAATATTGGCGCTTTTTTTTCGGCAAAATTCGTTGATCCAAATTTTCACCAAAATCCCGTCGGATTACTGTAGGCTTTGGGCTGCCCGAAAAGAGAACATTTTTTGTTTCTCATTTTTTCTGGGAGTGGGACAAATGCGACCTTTTTTTTGCCCAACCGGGACATTTGCGCACTTTTTTTGCGCACTTGGCCCATTAGCGCACCTTTCTTTGCGCACTTAGCCCATTAGCGCACCTTTTTTCGCGCACTTGGCCCATTAGCGCTCTAAAATTACCTAGAAAAACAACTTTTGGAATAGAAATTGGTTAATATTAGCTTTTTAGAGCTTTTTTAAAACGCGAAAAAGGTGCGCAAAAAAAGGTGCGCAAATGTCCGGGTGCGCAAAAGAAAGGTGCGCAAATGTCCGGGTGCGCAAATGTCAGGGTGCGCAAAAAAAGGTGCGAAAGTGTCCGGGTGCGCAAATGTCCTGATGCGGAAAAAAAGGTGCGCAAATGTCCGGGTGCGCAAAAGTTCGGGTGCGCAAAAAAAAGTCCACTCCTTTTTTTTCTTTCTCATATTTTCTCTAATATTTCCGAGTTGTGAGGGTGGAGAACGGGAAATTATGCATTATTGAATATGCAAAGCTTTGCCGAAACAAACGGGCATTTGTTGTTTGCCCGTTTCTTCGTCAACCACACCGATCGGTCATTGATATTTTCGTGATCAACGAAATGCGTTTAGAAATAAGATTTGACGTTTAGGATTTTGCCATTGTTCAAACTGGAAGTCACAGTGCAAAAAAATGTCGAAAAATCGATAGTTTCTTCAAATTTTGCACTTTCATAGTTGGCGTTTGAGTTCAACGAGAATTTTCTCGGAAAATCGTCTCCAAATTTGACCGGCTCATCTCAGTGCTCCGTTCTGGATGTCAGCACACACGAAAATGATGATAAATCGCTATTTCGATGACATCTCATCTCCACGTAGTGTCTCGTAGTCGCTAACGACGTGGGGTCATTGGTGATTCTCCGTGTGCATCCAATTACCGCTCTTTCTCTCGCCATCCGTTCTTTCTCCCGTTTTTCTCATTCTTTGCCATTCTGACGTGCTATTGAGCTATTCTGGAGCGTTTTTTTTCTGATTTGGATTCAGAAATAGACCTATCCCTAGACCCTGGACCTATTTCCGTAAAATGCAAAATCCAAATATCTCAATCCAAAAATCTTTGCTGTGACCTCCAACTAAGCGATCCGAATTGCGGGAATTGCGTTTCTTCCATGAGAAAATGAATAATTCAATGAGAGTTGGAGATGACGAGGTTTTTCAGCGATTTTTGACTATTTCTTGGATTGTTTTGACTATTTTCGGGCTTTCTGGAACGCATGTAAACTCATAGCTCACCTCTTTCGCGATGCTTTCTTCGTAAATCATGTTTTCACTCCAGAAAGTTCGTTGCGGGTCGTAGTAGCTGATTGCGCGCTTTTTCAGAAAAGGGATCACCAATTGACGTCGCCAAACCTAAAGCTGGATGTCACGAGAGGTTTTGGACAATTTTCCGAATCGATTTTCTCAGTTCAGAAAAAATTTGGTTCAGAATTTGGTTCAGAAATCGAGGTGAGCTGCTTACCGTGTTCCCGCAACTGCCGCCCAAAAAAACATCATAAGATGGCAATGCTGGGTCGCACGATGTCCGTAGGGATCTGAATTTCGGGCGGTTTTCGGAGATTCTAGAATCGTCGCCACCTGGCACACGGTTGTTGACCATTTGAGCAGCCGGCCTCGCACCGAATCACGCACCCGTCATCCGAACAGCTCGTCATTCTGAAAAATGGAAAGTAATCGTTGAATAAACATAGCACCGCTAAAATTTGCTCAATTCTAATGAAAGTTAAGGAAATTTTCGTTTTTGGAGCTGAGTTGGAGAGGGAAAAACGAGTTCAAAGCCGAATCTTGTAGACCTTAGGGTAAATTTAAAAATTTAGAATTTTTTTCGTTATTCTGGAGGGCACAAACTAGATTAGAGTTGAAAAAAAATGCAAAAGACAATATTTAAAAAATTTTTTTTCGGGCTGAACGAGTTCAAGGCCGAATCTTTCAAACCTAAGGGTAAATTCAAAAATTTTAGAATTTTTTTCGTCATTCTGGTAGGCACAAACTAGATTGGAGTTGAAAAAAAAGCAAAAGAAAAAACATTTAAAAAAAATTTTTTAGGGCTGAACGAGTTCAAAGCTAAAAATCGATGATTCTGATAGATATAAGGAAACTGAAAGAAAATTTCGTCTATCTGGATATCACCGAATCTTTTGAGCTCAAAAATCGGGAGGTTATCGTTTTTTAAAAAAATGATCAAAAATTCGAAAAACAAGAGGAGAGGTCAATAAGTCAAAATTGAAGAAAAATGAGAAAATTGAGGAAAATTTAGGAATCGTGCACTCCAATTAAACAAAAGCCGGCAAATTATCGCAAAGTTTCCTTTGTTATCGCAAAGTTTTCGCGGCAATCTCGGTCGGCCGGTGTGACTCGAGTAGTAATCGGCCTAGGCTTCAATGCGAGGCGTACAGGGGAGAGAAATGTGTGAAAAATTGTGGCCGGGCAATCCGATCAACACTCCAATGCCCAGCATGCTGTCCAGGACGAAAAATTTTTCGAGAGGGATGGTCGCGACTACACAAAAACGGGCATTGTCGATGATTTCACCCCGCGTCATCCCCAAGTACTTTTCGATTGTATTTTGAACTGGAATCACTGCAGTGCTAGCCAGAAGGACGATTTTTGAAAAGAATTTCAATAACACGCTTGCAAAGGGCAAAAATATTGCACCAGTCCTAAATCGGGAAAATGGAAAATTTGGACTTTTCGAAAATTTTGCATTTGAGATGGTTTTTGATGTTAGAATCACTGCAGTGCTAACCAGAAGGACCAATTTTTTAAAAAATTCGATAATAGACTTACAAAGGGCAAAAATATTGCACCAGTCCTAAATCGGGAAAATGGAAAATTTGGAATTTTGAAAATTTTGCATTTAAGATGATTTTTGATGTTGGAATCACTGCAGTGCTATCCAGAAGGACCAATTTTGAAAAAAATTTCAATAACACGCTTGCAAAGGGCAAAAATATTGCACCAGTCCTAAATAAAAAAAGTAAAAAAATTTAATTTTTGAAAATTTTATATTTAAGATGATTTTTGATGTTGTGTGCATTCCAGATTGGATTTTCCAAATCATAAAAATCTTTCTTTCGGTCATCAGTGCTGATAAAATGGGGTAAGAAAATTTCGGAGCGATACTGAAGCAAGTAATGACAAAATGACGAGAAAAGGTGAAAGCCGAGAGAATCCTCACAGGTAAGCCATTCAAAATAATCACCAATTTCCCGTCACAAACCAAAAATAAAGGGGAAAGACGGGAGGAAAAGCGATGATTTCAAATCTCGTCACAAATTGAGAAGAAGAGAGCGACAATTAGAGGACTGCCGCCATTTCACCGCCAACAATTAGGATATGCCGGAAATTTGAGCGAATTTGGCAATGATGGGAGTCACTGGGAAGGGTCGGCGAATTTTTTTTCGACAGAAATGCGGAAACGACGGAAACAGTATTTTCGGGGGTGGAATGGAATTAGTACTCTCGCGGAAAGTTGAATTTTTCAAAAACCAACTTTATCAGTGGCTAGTGTGACTTCCAGGATTAATCCCTGCAAATCGGCGAGTACTAATTTCCATGGGTTTCCCACTTTTATGGGGAGTGAAGAGTTTTGCTCCCCCGTAGAGGTGCCCTGAAAGAAAAGTTTCTTTCTTTTCTAGTTTCGCCTCAAAGAATAGCCGTGAGAAAACACTCACGTCACCCCGCTATCGTGTTTGCTTTCCTGAAAAGGGGAAAAGTTTTTTCTCGGAGCTGGAACTTGTTTCCCAGAAAAAGCTGATTCCAAAAGTAAGCTGTTCAATGGGTTTTGGCAAAAATTTGCATAATAATTTGAAAAACTGATCTTGAAAAATGTCGATCTGGAGGTCACAGGAGCTTTTGGGAAAAGTGGATTCGAGATTCCGAAGTTTTATGACAGCTCGAAGATACCAAAAGCCTTCAGGGTACTGTACAAAAAATTTGCATACTAAGTTTAGAAATTTATGTCGTAAAACATCGATCTGGAGGTCACAGGGGTTTTTGGGAAAAATGGAATCGAGATTCCGAGGTTTTATGACAGCTCGAAGATACCAAAAGCCTTCAGGGTACTGTACAAGAAATTTGCATACTAAACTTCAAAGTTTATGTCGTAAAACGTCGATCTGGAGGTCACAGGAGTTTTTGGGAAAAATGGATTCGAGATTCCGAAGTTTTATGACAGCTCAAAGATACCAAAAGCCTTCAGGGCACTGTACAAGAAATTAGCATACTAAGTTTAGAAATTTATGCCGTAAAACGTCGATCTGGATGTCACAGGAGTTTTTGGGAAAAGTGGATCCTCGATTTTCCAAGATTTCATCAAAGCTCTTTGACACATAATAATGATATCATAGCCCTCCTTCGGGATCTCTAAAATTGGCGATTATCTAGTCATGGGGATTATTTTCGGCTCCCGTGCGGCCCAGCTCAGCTATTTCTTAATCTTTTGATACAAAATTGACAAGATATGAAAAGAAAAATGGGAGCGTTCAATTGTTGCCGTTTAATCTCTTTTTCGTTTTTCTTTTTTGAATAAGTGACGATTATTGTCGAGATAATTTTCCTCTCGCAGGTGGCGCTAAAAATAATTCCATCATTTAGATGTGTTTCTGTCATTTTCGCCCCAATTAAACATGAAATCCGCGGGATAAAAGCCGAAATTTGATTTCACGCCAATTTCTCGGCGTTTATGGGGTTTTGATTTTAAGAAATATTTTTTTTGAGCGTTCTGGAAGTCACTTGAGATTATTTTCGAGGAAATTGGAAAGAAAAGAAAGTCTAGAATTTTCGAGGAAATTGGAGAAGAGCTCTAGGTCTGAAGCAGCTCTACAAGCTAGCTAGGGATCTAAGAATTTGGATTTCGTTTAGCTGGAGCACACTACAGCTCTAGCCACTATTAGCGGTAAAACTAGCAAGGTAAAACAAAGAATTTACACTTGAATCCGGAATCTATCCTTGGAGGTGCCGAGTTTGAGCTCTTTTGACGACCTTCAGAAGCTGCTAGCTTCTCGAAAATTTGGATTTGCTTAATCTGGAGTACACTAGAGCAGCTCGCAATATCAAATTTGCTTTAGGCGAATTTTAGGCGAAATTTTATTTCTAGGATTTGGAAATTTGTTGCTTTGGCCCGGAGGCCGTAAAATGAATCAAAATTGAAAGGGAAACGAATTTCGGCTCGGAATTCGAATTCGGCAAAAGAAATGATTCAATTTTGATCTTTTAAAGGCCCGCTGTTTTCCTAAGAAAGATTTGCGACAAATCGAAAAATAAAATGAATGGAATTTCGATTGATTGAATTTTTTCGACTTTTGATTGTGGCATTAGGTAAAATGATATCCAGATTTTAGATAAAATGGTCAAATTTTAGAAAACGCGTCATTTGTCGCGAGAAAAAGCGACTGTCGCAAACTACCGTAATCCTAGAATGTTCAAATGCTGAGAATCAGGGTTTTAAGTTGCTAAAAAGCTAGCATGCGATCCAGGATCTATGAAAAGTGCGCAGTTTTTAGAAAATCAATTATGGTGGCTTAGAATTAAGCGACTGTCGCAAACTACCGTAATCCTGGAAGGTTCAAATATTGAAAATCGGTGTTTTAAGTTGCTGAAAATTTAGTGTGCCATCCAGGATCTATGAAAAGTGTGCAGTTTTTAGAAAACTCGTTATTTGTCGCGAGAAAAAGCGACTGTCGCAAACTACCGTAACCCTGAATGGTTCAAATATTGAAAATCGGTGTTTTAAGTTGTTAAAAATTTAGTGTGCCATCCAGGATCTATAAAAAGTGTGCAGTTTTTAGAAAACTCATCATTTGTCGTGAGAAAAAGCGACTGTCGCAAACTACCGTAATCCTGGAAGGTTCAAATGTTGAAAATCGGGGTTTTAAGTTGTTAAAAACCTAACATGCTATCCAGGATCTATGAAAAGCACAAACTTTTAGGCAACAGAGACAGGCAAGGGCTGAAACACTAGCCTAATCCGATCAAGTACGAGACTGTACGCAAGGGGCAGGGGAGCTATCGAGCTGAAAGCTATCGTAATCCGAAACCAAAAGATCAACTGATTTCCAGGGAACACTGTTCCGCTTTTATATCATTTTGAAAACGAAATGGAGGAATGAAATCAAGAATGATAAGGAATCAAATTTTTGATAATACCGTAACCCGACAAAAAGAGGACTGGCGCTAATTTGGGAAAACAATGCAAAAGAGATCACATTTTATCGCTCAAATTGACAACCATGGGAGGCACAGAGAGCGATGAGAAAGAAAAAAGATAAGATTTTACGAATGATGTCATTTTTGATATGCTGGGATCACATCTAGCCAGTGCTGAGACTTCAAAAGAATTTCTTCACAATTTCGCGTTCATTTGACAACCATGTCAAATGCTGCCCTCCAGAAACCATAAAAAGTCGGACAATTTTGGGAAAAGACCCCGCCGCTGGGCATTTCCCATGGTCTGCTCAGTGTGAGCGCAGTGTATCCCTGCAGCCTATCTCTGCAGCCTTTCCCTGTAGCCTTTCCCTTGCTGGAAACCATTTTCTAACGATCTCTGAATGTAAAGTGCATCCCAGGAAGCCCCAAAAAAAATATTTCGATTGAATTTTGAAATAATTCACTTCAAAATTTCGACTACAACTCAATCAAGGGATTGGAAATTTTTAAAATGGTTAAAATTCGGTTTTAAATGGATTTTTGTGTAGTGTGACTTCCAGGATTTCGTAAAAATAAATTTTTGTTGAAATCTTTGAAATCTAGGCAGAAAATAGTGGCAGCAGAGGATTTCAAAAAAACCAACTTCTGCAGAGTTGAATTTTTAGTGAATTTGATTGAATTTTTGAGTCTCGTGACACCCAGTTCGGCCATTTTTGGTCAGTTTTTGGCCATTTTTGGCCAGCTGGGCCATTTTTGACCAGTTTGGCCAGTTTGGCTAGTTTTTGGCCATTTTTTGGCCGGTTTGGCCATCAATTCTCCCTGCAAACCTGTTTTTCTTTTCTTGGTCATTGTCGCTCATTGAGAATTTCGTGTTGTTCCGTGCACAGGGCGCCCTCTTTGCATTGCGTATCAGTCCGGCTTGTGCACTGGAAATTTGCATTTAATAATTTTTCATTTTTTAACAATTAACAGTAATGGCAAAGAGAAATGAGATTTTCAAGTAAACAAATCCGGGATCAGATTAGCGAATCGGACTAGCTGGGAGGCACAAGGGATGATGAGAAAAGAAAAAACAAACTAATGTGAAAATCGATGGTGACGAAATTTACGAAATCTCAGAACAGGGAGCGGCTCGATCCTTTTTATGCAGCTTTTGAATCTTTCTTCTCAATCAAGCTGTCATTCACTAAAGTGACATCCAAAAACAGTACTCGGCAAGAAATTTACGTGTTTCTGTCAAAGCTCTTCAGTAAATCGACCCAGTCCTATACCATGGATCCCCATCCCTTTTTATGCAAATTCTAAACGTAATCAAGTTGCTCGTTCACTAGAGTGACATCCAAAAACAGTATTCGGCAAGAAATTTACGGGTTTCAGCCAAAGCTCTTCAGTAAATCGACCCAGTCCTATGCCATGGATCCCCATCCCTTTTTATGCAAATTCTAAACGTAATCAAGTTGCTCGTTCACTAGAGTGACATCCAAAAACAGTATTGGTCAAGAAGTTTACGCGTTTCAGTCAAAGCTCTTCAGTAAATCGACCCAGTCCTATGCCACGGAAAAATCGAGACTTTCAAATCTTCAACCAAGCAGTTATTTGAGCGTGAATTTTGCTTCAGTGTGCTCCAGATTGGTGTTTAGAAAGAAATATTGGACAAGCTGATGTCGGCTTTTACGAAATCTCCTCACATTCTTGCAACAGAAAGGGAAACACTCAGAAAACTTGGAGAATTTTGCACAAAAATGTTTCTAGACAAATGTTGTAGTGCAAACTGGAGCGCAGGGTAGTGAAATTTGCATTTAATTGAGGAATTAGTGATAGTTTGAAAATCTCAGCATTTTGACGGAACGGGACTGGGTCGATTTGCGAGCCGATTCTCTCGTCGATTTGCAACTTTCGGCGGCATTGGTATTTTTGGAAGTCACAATTGACGATGGGCTAATTGAATTTGTGATTTTTCAAGGAAATGTGGGGGTCAAGTTCAAATCAAGTCGAAGTGACGTCACAAGTCAAATCGACAAGCTAGCGACAAGTTAGCGATTTAAGCGGAAAAAGCGGAAACTTTCGATCCTATTTTACTGTGTGACATCCAGCTTCATCAAAAACAACAAAATCTGGTCACTTTTGTGATCGGGAAACGGAGAAATTGTGGCGAACAAAATTTCGACAAAGCTAAATTTGTCAAATCAATCAAGTCAAGGCTCAGATGAGATTTTTCTAGTTACATGACATCCAAAACGCTCAAAAACATTCACAAAATCTGGTTTATGCTCGGAAATTGGGGAAATTTTCACTCATTCTCATTCATTCTCTTTCCCTCTAAGTTTTGTGTTTGTTCGCGTGATTTTTCTGGGTCCCCAAAGGGAAAAGAAATGGGGAAAAAGGGGAAAAAAGGGGAAAAAAGGGAAGAAAAGAAAGAAAAGAAAGAAAAGAAAAGATTTCCTCGAGAAAATGATGTCAGATTGAATAAAAATCGAGGAGTGTGTAAAAAAAGGAAAAAAAGGGAAAAAAGGTGAAAAAAAGAGGAAAGTTGGGTATTTTAGACGCCTTTCTGTGTCTTTTTGGCGAAATTTTCTAAACACCGCTATTTTTTTGCGGGAATAATCCTATTAAGCGCTCAGTCGAGAGACCATTGAATCAACAGTGATTTCGGGGAGCAACCTAGTTTCTAGTTTAGAGGTCAGAAAGAAGTACAGGCCAACAACTGACTCCAATAGCCAGCATTTGACTTCTAGATCTCGGTAACGGCTAAGCTGGAAAGCACTTTAGCAGAAGATATCAAAGAATCGCCGAATTGTCGCGGTTTTAGACAATGAGTCAAAGCGGATTGGGACTGGGTTGAAAAAACGATCCCAAGCCACGATGAGGGCTTTTTAACTCAACTAGGGCTCGATCTGGAACTCACTTTAACAGAAAAGAACAAAGAATGATCTAGTTGTGGCGGTTTTAGCAAATGAGTTAAAGCGGAATGGGACTGGATTGAAAAAATGATCCCTAACCACGGTGAGAACTTTTTAACTCAACTAGAGCTCGATCTGGAACTCACTTTAACATTTCGTTATTGAAAAAATCTCGTTGTTGATATTTTTAGAAATCGAGTTTCTGCACTTACCGCTTCTCGTATTTGAGTCGAGGCTGGGCCCTTGGCCGAACAATAGTCAAACATTTTGTCATCAAGAATCGCAAAACAGGTGAACGGGGGCAAAAGTAATCAGTGAGTGGAGGCTGGCTTCCGAATGACCGAGCTCAGATAAGGGGGGGAGGGCTGGCTGTGGTGGGGGAGAAAGAGGACTGGACGATTTTCTCCAATCTTATCACATTTCCTTGTCTTCTCATTGACGTTTTTGGTGAACATGGAAGGCATTCGAGTTGAAGATTCCGGCACAAACACCCCAAAAATCCCGTGAATTTTTACGACCCCGAGATTGGGCAAAAATTGGGATTGAGGAAAAAAACTCCGGAAAAACGCTTTCCGTTTTTTACTTCCACATATTCCTGGCATGCTGGGACTGACGAGAGGGACTGACGCGAGAAAAAACGGAGCAACGACGCGATTTTTTTTGATGATAAACAAGTGTCAACGTTGGGAGTGATTCTATGGAATTTCTGCAATCGTGAAGATTTAAAAAATGTTATCACCGAGTTTTATGGAGCGCACACGAAAGGGTAAACATTGATGTGATTCGGAAAAAAAGGCAAGAAAGGCAAGAAAAACCAAAACCCTAATTAAATTAGGACAAAAAAATTTTCTTTTTTTTTTTTTGGTTCCCGAACTTTGGATTTTTGAGAATTTTCGGTGTTATCAGTTTTGAGAGAAAAAATTTACTTTTCCAAGAGCACAGAATGCTTTTTGAATGCACAGAATGCACAGATTGCTTGTGTACCCTCCAGAGTTGGGGGATTTTTTGTGAAAAATGAAAAGGCTCAATTTTGAAAAGGCTCAATTAGGGCACAAAAATGGTTGACCAGAACAGCCGAAAATTGATTTTTTAAAACAGAAGAAATTGTCAAACTGTTCTTCTCAAGAACTTGTGTGCCTTCCAGAACAAAGGAATCTTAAATCAAAAAATTAAAAACCTCGAAATTTTCAAGATTTTTCGCAGTGGACAAGATCGGTACAAAATCGATTTTTTCAAAACAGAAGAAATTGTCAAACTGTTTTTCCCAAAAAATTACGTGCCCTCCAGAACAAAGGAATTTTAAATCAAAAAATTAAAAACCTCGAATTTTTCGAGATTTTTCCCAGTGGACAAGAACCGCCCAAAATCGATTTTTTAAAACAGAAGAAATCGTTAAACTGTGCTTCTCAAGAACTTGTGTGCCCTCCAGAACGAAGGAATTTTAAATCAAAAAATTGAAAACCTCGGATTTTTTCAAGATTTTGCGCGGTGAACAAGATCGGTACAAAATCGATTTTTTTAAAAGTGAAAAAGTCGTCAAACTGTTTTTTCCAAAAAATTACGTGCCTTCCAGGACAAAGGAATCTTAAATCAAAAAATTAAAAACCTCAAATATTTCGAGATTTCTTCAGGTGGACAAGATCGGCACAAAATCGTTTTTTTTTAAAGTGAAGAAATGATCAAAAGTGATGACGACGAAATGAACTGTGCTTCCCAGGATGCATGGATCGCAAGAAAGGGAAACGATCCCGAAAAACTCGAGCGAAAAATTTAGCAACAACAGATTTTCGGGGACGGGAAACGGGGAGGAAAGGGTGCACGTGATTTGATGCCGAACCGGAAATAGCATTTACCAGTTAGCAGCATTTACCAGCGAAACAAACGAGCGCTTCACTCCTATTGACCTCCAGATTGTCTTTTTTGTGCTTCTCGTTTTCTTGGAAAACTTTCAAAAACACGAAATTCCCTCGACAATTGCTTAATTTCCGTAAAAGTGTCAAAAGTTGATTAAATGCCGGAAAACGAGTTGCGCTGACTTCCAGGAAAGACGAATCGACTCTGAGAATGGGAGATTTCTTGAGAAAATGTTGAGAAAAACTCGTGAGAGCAAAAATCGACTGACCGGTCACCAAAAAAGCCGATTTTTTGTTTTTCCAATAAAAAAACGCAAATTTCTGTTGAAATCATTAGTTTGGGATTATCCACGTGCTACTATTTCGCTAAATTTTCAATGAAAAAAATTGACGACACTTTTTGTACAATGGTTTAAAAGTTCAGCGTCAATCCCCCGCATTTTCTGAGCTCGTTAAAATGGTAAGCGGCCGTTTTTTGAGCGTTATGGAAGTCAGGAGAGTGGTTTTGATCTTTTAAAGCTTGAATCTGTCAAAAAAATTCCAAAAAAATTCCAAAAAAAACTCTGGCCTGAATCGAACCAGGATCGTTTGGGGTGACAGCGAAACTCGCTAACCACTTGACCACTGGGGGATTGTGGGTGAATCGAAAGCTAACTTTTGCAAAATCTAAGTTGTATTCCAGCTTAAAGAATGCTGAAATATGAGTGCGATCTTTTTTGAAAAAACCCTTTAAAAAAGCGAGATAATTTTCTCAGCGTCTTTTCTCGATTTTGAGCAAGCAGAATTGAATAAGATTTCAGTTTTCCCTTAGCTGGAGTACAATTTAGATTTTGCAGGTATTCGTTTCGAAATTCAACTACTATAGCGCATGGCCTAGTGGCTAAGCGGCTTGGCTACCAATCCGAGGGTCCGATCCCGAGGGTGCTGGTTCGATCCCAGTGCCGGCTCGATCACGCGGAAAACTTTTAGTTTTCACGTGCAAAATCGCGTCTAGCCATTATCAATGTATTTTAAGCCTATTTTTAAGCAAAGTTCTTTCGGATTAAAGTCTAAATTCTCAAATTTTCCAAAAAAAAATGAAAATGATTAATTTCTATGCACTTTGCTCTGAAGAAAAGGAAAAAAAGGAAAAAAAGGAAAAATAATGTCATCTTTTCACAAATAAACTATATTTTGAGGGGACTTTTATTTGTTTTTCTTATCAAAATCAGATTGGTCGCAAAAAAAAGCCAAAAATAAACACTTCTTTCTTCAAGAAACGTCATTTTCGATAAAAAATACTAAAAACTAGAGAAAATCTTTAAAAATCAAAGCCAAGAACTTCTTTTGAAGGATATCAATAGGGTGACTTCCAAAATTGAGTTTCCAATTTGAAAAAAAGGCGTTTGATTGAAGAAATTTTGAGGAATTTAACCAGTCCTAAAACTTCAAGCAGCTGAAAAGTTTCTGATTGATGGTTGGATGATTGGGAAACGGTGCAGAATATCAATAGTGTGACTTCCAAAATTGACTTTCCAATTTGAAAAAACGGTGTTTGATTGAAGAAATTTTGAGAAATTTAGCCAGTCCTAAAACTTAGAGCAGCTGAAAAATTTCTGATTGATGGTTGGATGATTGGGAAACGGTGAAGGGTATCAATAGTGTGACTTCCAAAATTGACTTTCCAATTTAAAAAAAAGGCCTTTGATTGAAGAAATTTTGAGGAATTTAACCAGTCCTAAAACTTCAAGCAGCTGAAAAGTTTCTGATTGATGGTTGGATGATTGGAAAACGCTGGGAAAGCTGGAGAAAGCTGGGGAAAGGTGGAAAAGCTGAAAGATTGATGAATGAAAATTTCTGAATCGAGAAAAATTAGAAAATTCGAGGAAAAGCCAAATTTTTGCAATGAATCGCTGAAATTTTTGAATCACCAAAATTAGGGACGCAAAAATTTGCATTTTCGCAAATTTTAGGCCAAAAAAAATCGTTTTGTGCGTTCCAGAATGCTCAGAAAAGGCAGAAAAATTCGCAGAAATCACGGAAATTTTCGAGAAATCGAGGCGATCGAGAAGCAAGCTGTACAGGCTTTTAGGAAAGAGTTGTAAGAACTTTGAAACAATTTTTGGGCGATCTGGAATACAGGACAACAATAGAAATAAAGAAATTTTGAAAATTCAAAAAATAAAAATTTTGAAAATTTCAAGTTACGTAATTGATCCGGCTCAGCTTTTCTCAAACGGTTAACTCGAAAATACGTTCCCTTTCTTTTTCTGAGGCTCGAAGAATAAATAAACGAAACGATTGAGCGGTCAAAAGATTGAGAAATCGTCGTATTTGATTTGATCGAGAAGGCGAGAGAGAGAGAAAGAGAGAGAAAGAGTTCGAGCCGAAAAAAGCACAAAAACGAAAGAAAAAGGAGAAGTTTGAAAAGGTTTTTGGCCAAGCTGGAGATCACGAAAGCTTTTGCGAAGATGAGAAAAAGTTAAGATTTGAAAATAAAAAATCAAGAGAGGAAAATACAAGATTGGGGCGAAAGAGGCGTCGAAATGGAAAGAGGAGAGGAAAGCCGAGAGAAAAAGGGCCAAGCTGGAGGGCACAGGACATGATGTCATCATCTTGGCGAGGCTGAGAGAAACCGGGGTCCATCGATCCACCGACGTCAGCCTCGGCGGGCATTGGGAGCAGTGAGAGACCCAGAAAAGCAGAAAAACGAGGGAAACCGGCAAGCTGGAGGGCACGGCAGCGAGTGGGCAGAGGCAGCGAGTGGGCAGAGGCCCTAGCGGGTTGTGGGGGAAAAAGAGGTGGAGAGTGGATAGAGATCTTTAGAAAGAAAACTTGAATCAAGTGCGGCATCAAGTGAGCCAAATCAAGTGAGCCAGTGTCTTCCGTGAGGTCCAAAATGCGAGAAAGAGCGATTTTCAGGGTCATTGCGGAGACACAGACGATTGTAGGGCCCCAGTCCTGAAACTCCGCGGCGACTTCACCGGTTTTTTCGGAAATCCTTATGAATGAGTTTTGTTTTCTCAACGGATTCCGTAATCCTGGAGGTCACAGCAAATTCCCATCTTATAGGATTTCGTTTTTGATTACCGCGAGATTCACTGAGCTGGTTGTTGTCATTTCTAGCGAAAATCTTCGCCCATTGTGATCGGATTTTGATTTTAAATGGAAATTTGGTCGAACTGGAGGTCACAACGAATTTTGAAAAGCTAACGGTGAATCCTGCACTCAATTTCGACATCACATATCAGCCCTGACATCACTCCTCTGACTCACTCGTTTATTCATTGCGTGACAGGCTACCGAAAAGGCCTCATTAGATCATGTGATATCCAGAAGAGACAAAAAGGGCAAAAAAACATGAGATAGCTATTGCTTAGAACCAGAAATGCTTCGGATCAATTACGCAACTGAGCACCTGAACTTTTCAAATGCCAACCGC